TAGAAGAGAGGCAGGGGGGGAGGTCACCTTAAACTAGGGGACTGTCTGTCCGTATCAGCATCAGGCTGGTGTCTGTCTGTCTGTCTGAGTCCAGACAAGCGGTAAGGGACATTGTGCTCAGTGTCCGTGGTGGCAAAGGCAGCTGTGAGGACGGGAGCGGACGGCGGACTGGAGAGAGCATCTCCCCAACCCACGGGGACCATGGAGCTTCCTGGCTGCTGGGGCAAGCTGTCCCTCCTGGAAGCCAGAAGTAAGAGGGGTTCCCAGACACTGAGGAGCCGCCTTCTGGGGACAGGGCAGCACAGATTTCAGTAACCAAATACTCTGGGATGTGAGTTAAAGAAAGGACTGGGGGCTTGGAGGACACAAGTGTTTGCCACGAAGCCCGCCCACCTGAGTTCAATCCCTGAGACTCGACAGGTGGAAAGAGGGAACCAACTTTACACAGTTGACCTCTGACCCTGACCTAGACACACGTCCGAGGGCACATAGCCACGCCCATCCATGTCACACCCACACACAACAGTAAATTTAAAGTTAAAAGATGGACCATGGATTAGAATAGAAAAGTAAATTGGCACCAGATTTAAAAGGACCCACGTACCGTGGAGACATATCTCAGTGTATACAAAGTTTTTAGATACCGGAGTACAGCAACCATCTTCACATTTTTTAAAGGCTCATCCTAGATAAAAGAAAAAAGACAATTGTGACAGATATTGGACTCTAGCTAGAGATGTGGTTGAGTTACTCAGAAGAACACTGATTTCCTGCTTTGAGATGCTCATGGTACCGATCCCTCAAGAACCTCATGCATGGCAGCTCAAAAAATATGCCCCCCCCCAAGGAAAGTAGTGTGTAAAATCAAAATGGGAGGCGATGACTCACTGGAAAATTCTCCCAACTTCCCACTTCCCTGATGTTTGGAAGGTTTTGTAACAAAGCCCTGGGGAGTTTTTATCACCCTAGCTGTTGCATGGATATTGCCTTGGAGGGAGCCAGGGAGAGGGTTGGAGTACCCAAGCATGACCCCAGCTGTAAGGAAAAGCAGAGGTTCTCGGGAGGGCAAATCAATGCCACGGCATGTGGATGGACAAGGATAATTAGTGGCATGCTGCTCCTCTGCCCAAATTACAAAGTTGTAGAAGACCGTAATTATTTATAGGATGAGGAGGATGCTCAGAAACAAGAACCCTGAGTTCCCGACAGGCCTTGCCGCTGCCTCAGGCTCCCGACCCTTGGAGGGTCCTAGCCTTTCTGTCTGTCTTCAAATTCACAACTTTGGATAACCTGACAAATGGGAAGGCGTGGCAGACATCACCATTCAGCATTCCTTATGACCTCAGAGACTTCGCGTCACTCCATCCACGGTGTCCTGTGTTACACGCGCATACATGTGTGTTTGTCTGTGTGAGTGTGTGTGTGAGTGTGTGTGACAGTGTGTGTGAATGTGTGAGTGTGTGTGTCTGTGCATGCATGTGTGTGTCTCTGTGTGTTTGTGTGTGTGAGTGTGTGAGTGTGTGTGTGTCTGTGTGTGTGAGTGTGTTGTGTGAGTATGTGTGAGTGTGCGTGTGTGTTTGTGTGTGAATGTGTGAGTGTGTGTGAGTGTGTGTGTGCCTGTGTGTCTGTGTGTGAGTGTGTGCGTCTGTGTGTTTGTATGTGTGTGAGTGTGTGTGTCTATGTGTCTGTGTGTGTGAGTGTGTGTGAGAGTGTGTGAATGTGTGTGAGTGTGTGTATGTATGTGTATATGTGTGAGTGAGTGTGTGTGAGTGTGTGTGAGTGTGTCTGTGCGTGAAGTGTGTGTGCCTGTGTGTCTGTGTGTGTGAGTGTGTGTGTCTGTGTGTTTGTATGTATGTGTGAGTGTGTATGTCTATGTGTCTGTGTGTGTGTGTGAGAGAGTGTGTGAATGTGTGTGTGAGTGTGTGTGTGTGTTTGTGTGAGTGTGTGTGAGTGTGTGTGTTTGTGTGTGAGTGTGTGTGAGTGTGTGGGTGTGAGTGTGTGTGTCCCGTATCTCTTCCCCTAGCCAGTTAATTGTTGTTGTTTTCAGCTGCTTTCTAGTGGCTGCTCCATCCACAACCAGCCAGATTTAGCAGCCTTCAGTCAGAAAACAGATTTATCTGGAAGACTTGGCCACAATAAGGCAAAATGAGTTCTGCTCGAGGACCTCACACTGCTTTTCTAAGGACAGATGCCGGGGCTGATGGCTCTCTTGAAAGGCAGCCTCTGCAATTGCCCCTCCCTCCCCCCACCTGCATCCTCGCCCGCTATAATTCCGACTCATTTCCTACAGCTTTGTCCTGGAGGTTGCTAACCAGCTCCTCCTTGTCCCGTCCCCTCCCTGTGGAGGGCAGCTTTCCATTTCAGTAATGACTTGTGTGACTCATTTCTGGGTTCTTGCTCTTGCCACATCCACAGTCACTTAAAACAACGTTCAACATCAATCTTTTACTTGTCAAGGCTTGCTACTCTCCGGCTGTCTATGAAGAACAGGACATGAGTGCCTGCCTCTACTGTTCCTGTGGACGCTAATACAAAGAGACCCCCACGGCAGAAATGCCTTTGCATATGTGTCTGACTTCAGGAAGATTCTCAGCTCTGCTGAAGTTAGTATGTGAGAGCAGGGTTGGTGATCCCAGCGCCCTCCCCTCCCCGCAAAGCCCCAGCATACACCTCCCACCCACATACAATATGGCTGTGGCGTTTCACTTTCTTTAAAGACACTCAAGACCCCGACAGTTCCAACCCCGCAGTTCTGCAGGCAACCCCCTCACCTGCTTCAGGAGCATTAGCTATGGAGTTGAACAAGCCTAGTTCAGATCCCAGTTCATTCCCTGGGCCTCAGTTTCCCCTACCCACCTCTGAAAGAGAGTGCTGGTTTGGAGGATTACTGCAGGCAGTAAATTAGGCTGTGTGCCAATGCCTTAGCCTCCAGCCCCACGACTGGTCCTGGTGGACGCTCAGTACCCGGTACCCAGGTGTGGAAAAAGCCACCTCCCGCCCCACCCCCTCCAGTCATGACTGACAGGCAGCTGAACATCATGAACTGTACTTTGTCTTCCTCTGTGGAATACGCCAGTGTTTTTATTTTATTTACTGAGTATAAAACTTGAGAGACGTTGGCTGCTTCTCCTTTGGAGACAGGACATTAGGCACAAACAAAGACGTGGGCATCACCTCCAGAGGGGCCTTTGGAGCCCAGGTCACAGACCACACTCTGTGTGTGAGTGCAGGCTGCCCTTGTGAGTGCTGAGGGTGGCCTTTGGTTCAGTTTTGTTGCCGAAATCCCTGGGTCCCCAAGACTCTGCCTGGGTCTGCATCCCGTGTGCTGCAGGCCTGGTGCTGAGAGAGGACACTGTTACTCAGGGCACCCGAAGGCTGAGCGGAGAAATACACAAGGGAGCAGGGCATGGGAGAGAAAGAGCTTCAGAGACCAAAAGACGAGAGTGAAAGCTTTTAGACTTCCCTGCCCCGAGGCCTTCACGTGACCTCCCTTTCCCAGCAGTCCCTGTCATGCAAAGAGGCAGAGAACCGGTCATTCCCAAGTTCTCACGGGCTAGAGGCAGTGCCCAGGGTTGAACTCACTCCCAACTGCAGGGATCGCTGGTGCAGCAAGGTTGTTTCCCTAAAGACAAACTCTTGGATGCGCAGAGCTGCTCAGCCCCGCCACTCGCTGCCCTCTGCACCTGTATCTCATGGAAACTGAGAGGTGTTGAAAGGGCATCTGGTGAAGTGCCGGCTGCCTGCTCGCCTCTGTTGGGCTGAAAGGAGTACGAGGGCCCTGCCTTGAAGGTGAGTCTGAAGAGAAGGCTGGAAGGGCAGCATCTTCCTCTCTCCATCTTACCTTCCTAGCCCTTGAGAACCGTCGTTCTCTGTGCAAGCATAGACCTGGAGATGCGGGGATCACAACCCTGGGTTCCGATGGGTCCCGGGGACCACAGCCCTGGGTTCCGATGGGTCCCGGGGACCACAGCCCTGGGTTCCGATGGGTCCCGGGGACCACAGCCCTGGGTTCCGATGAGTCCGTGGTGGACCACAGCCCTGGGTTCCGATGGGTCCGTGGTGGACCACAGCCCTGGGTTCCGATGGGTCCCGGGGACCACAGCCCTGGGTTCCGATGGGTCCGCGGTGGAGTCTGGGTCTCCAATCCCTGGGATGTCTGAGGTGCTTGGGGACAGCGGAGGTCTTGGGTGCTCGAGACTGTCTGATGCATCCTGAAGCAGGGTGCCGCTTTGCTTTAGCAGAGGGTGTCTGTCTGTCCACTCTCACCCCACCCAGAAGAGAACTGGGAATGTAACAAATGCCAGGGTACAGGCCAGCTTCCATGTCTCTGTGCTAGGGAGGGCTTAGAGGGTAAGGGGCCTCAAGTCCTCACTCCTGAAGGGCCCCCAACTCTGAGAGGCCAGCAGAGACCCAGCCTGATGCTTAGGGTGGCTTTGAGGTAAACTGGGGCCTCTAAGGAAATGACTCGACTCCAGTTGGAGGGACAGGGTGGGGGCTGAGCTACTCTGAGGAGCTGTGGGCCTGGCGTGGACCCTCCTGGGGCTAGAACTAGGGTTGGCACTCAATGGATAAGGCTTGCATTGGCCACCCCACCCCACCATGTCCTGTGGCCACAAGGAGAATTTGCTTTCCTGGAATTGGTTACTTGGCCAAGAAGCTGGCCATTGGCTGGGACCAAAGCTCTGAACTCCCAGACTATGCATCACTGAGTTAGCAAAGCTGTGTCTACATGTAGAAGGGCTTGGTACCATCCGGTACCTGCCCTCTCTTCAGAGCTTGTTGCTTGGTTTGGTTCCTGCATCTCTGCAGTGGTTGGTAGGGGAGTGTCTACCTGCCTTGACACTCTGTGATGCCACTCTACACAGAAGCATCTAGGAGCAGCCAGAGTGTTCCATCCGGCAACTAAGGGAGCCTTGGAGCCCAGCTCCATCTTTGTGCCTGATGTTGTGGAGGGATTAAGGTGGGCATCCTCTATCACAGGCTCCTCTCTGCAGCAGGCCATGGCGCAGTGGTGGCAGATCCTCTTGGGATTGTGGACAGTCGTGCCCGCAGTGGCAGGGGACAAGCTGGTCAACATCTGCATGAATGCCAAGCATCACAAGCGAGAGCCTGGCCCAGAGGACAAGCTCTTCTTGGAGGTACAGCGGCCAGAGCTGGCCCAGGGGCTAAGGTGGCTTCTTAGAATTATTAGAAAAAAAATACAGGCAAGGTGGCCCCTGTAGCCCATCGGCCCTGGTCATTTAGTTCCTTAGTTTAGGTTTTTTCATCCAGGATTTTGCCCCGAGCTCATCTGGCCATCTGGGGAACAGGCTACGTGGTAATCCCATAAGCCCTAAGCATGGGCCAGTTCAAGCCTTCCTGCCAACATGCACTGGCTAGACACAGGACTTAAGTTGTTTCCTTGTCAGTCTCCTAAAGGCAATTACGGGGTTAGGAGGGGGAACCTTTCGACTATAAGTTGCTCCTACCCATCATCATAACCTGAGTTCCTGAATCTCCCTGGGACTTCTTTCTGTTTGCTTTCCTGGATGTCTTGCCTCCTGGAGCTACATCAGGAAACTATGTTCTGTGGCAGGAAGACAAAGGAGAGGGGGTCGAGGGTGAGGAGGGGTCGGGGGTGAGGAGGGGTCGGGGGTGAGGAGGGGGTGAGGGGTGAGGTGCCCCCCATTCTTAGGTGCATGTTGGCTGACAGACACCAAGGTCCCTCCTTTGCAGAGATGCTCAAGGTGTGCCCTGTCCTGACACCCTTCTGGAGACCCCAACCCTAGCCTCTTACCACCTGCTCCCCACCTCCAGTGTGCTCCCTGGACGGACAATGCCTGCTGCACGCTCGCCACGAGCTGGGAAGCCCATCTGGATGATTCCTTATTCTTCAACTTCAGCATGATGCACTGCGGCCTGCTGACCCCCGCCTGTCACAAGCATTTCATCCAGGCCATCTGCTTTCACGAGTGCTCCCCTAACCTGGGGCCTTGGATCCAGCTGGTGAGGGAGGGCACAGGAGGCTGGCGTCTATAGGGGGCGGGTAGGGTTAAGGACAGAGCCAGAGGCCGGGAAAGGAGGAAGAGGGAGCCGCCTCTGTCCCTGAAGGGGGACAGTGTCTGATGTAGGTGGTGGGGTAAAGCTGGGTGGAATGAGCTGCATCTGAGTGTGAATTCCACCTCCTGCTTACAATTATTAGAATAATTACAATAATAATACTTACCTAGAGCTGGGAGATGGCTCAGTCATTAAGCACTTGCCACACGGGTGAGCGTGAACACCCTAATTCAATCCTCAGAACCCATATAAAAAGCCAGGTGTGGAGATGAGCTGTTGTAATCTGAGCACTAGGGAGGCAGAGACAGGTGGGTTCCTGGGGCTTGCTAGCCAGCCAGCCTTGCCTGCTTGGTGAGAGACTCTCTCTAAACCAACATGTATGGTGCCTGAATAACAACAGTCGAGGTTGGCCCCCAGCCTACACACACACACACACACACACACACAGAGGCATGCGCACACACACTCACACACACACAGGCACACACACTCGCACACACACTCACACACAGGCATGCACACACACACTCACACACTCTCGCACACACACACTCACACACACTCACACAGGCATGCACACACACTCACACAGGCACACACTCACACACTCTCGCACACACACTCACACACACACTCACACACAGGCATGCACACACACGGTCTCACACACACTCACACAGGCACACACACTCGCACACACACTCACACACAGGCATGCACACACACACTCACACACACTCACACAGGCATGCACACACACTCACACAGGCACACACTCACACACTCTCGCACACACACTCACACACACACTCACACACAGGCATGCACACACACGGTCTCACACACACTCACACAGGCACACACACTCGCACACACACTCACACACAGGCATGCACACACACACACTCACACACTCTCGCACACACACACTCACACAGGCATGCACACACACGATTTCACACTCACACACACTCACACAGGCACACACACTCACACACAGGCACACACAATCACTCACACTTACACACACAGGCATGCACACACTCACACACTCACACTCACACTCGCACACTCACACATACTCACAGAATGTACACGCATGCGCACACGGAGAACAAGGGCTTTACAAAGGGTCAGTACCGCCTCTCATCTGCACCCAGGCGGCCCCGGACAGGCAGGAAGAGCGGGTGTGGGGCGCGCCGCTGTGCCGGGAGGACTGTGAGGAGTGGTGGGAAGACTGCAGCTCATCCTACACTTGCCAATCCAACTGGGACAGCGGCTGGAGTCGAGGTGAGTGCGCGACTGGCCTTCCCTGTCCCCCATGACGAGGGACGCGAGGGAAAGGGGCATGGGAAATGAGGACACTGTCCCCTACCCCCACAGGGAAGAAGCACTGCCCGGTACAGGCTCCCTGCCGCCCCTTCCCAGATTACTTCCCCACCCCCACTGATCTGTGCGAGAAGATTTGGAGCAGCACGTTCAAGGCCAGCCCTGAGCACAGGAATAGTGGACGGTGTCTACAGAAGTGGTTTGAGCCCACCCAGGGCAACCCCAATGTGGAAGTCGCCCTCCGCTTTGCCAACTCTGCCTCGGCCCCGGAGCTTTCTCACGCCCTCGCAGCCTTCTCCCTGTACCCGCTACTCCGTCCCTGAGGGTCCCCTCTGCTACCCACGTTCCTTCTGAACCATGGCATCCCCTTCCTCAGGCCACTCAGGCTGGGAGCAGGCGGGTGCCACCCAGGTCCCCTCCGCTGCTTGGCTCCGTCCCCAGTGACGTGGATGGCAGCTGGTACCCAGCAATCTGGTGCCCCGCCTCTCCTGCGTTAGGAACGGGCACTATGGGACTCCAGGCACTTGTCACCGTGTTCACACCATCCTCTTGTGTGACAGAAACTATGTCGTCAGCCGAGTGACCCGTGCTATCACGGTACCTTCAATAAAGTGACAGGGAAGCCCCCTCTCTATGTGCCACCCTGTTCTAGTCCCAAGGGCGCCAACCCACGATGTATAAAGAGGGAGCTGACTTGTCCTCATTAAGACTTTAATTTCTTTGATTACTATTGGGGTGAGAATTTTTAATATTAATTGGCCGTTTGGAATGTGGTTGTCTCACGTCTGTGTGTGTGTGTGTGTGTGTGTGCGCGCGCGCGCGCGCGCGCGCGCGCGCCCGCCCATCCACCCCCTTTCTTCAAAAAGACTCTTATGCCACGATAGGCTGGAACTCAAGGATGACCTTAAACTCCAGGTCTCCTCGCCTCTACCTTGTAGTTGCTGGGATTATACACATATGCCACCATTAGTACTCAGGCATTTGCACTGGCCTGCCTTTGGAGATCTGACAGGACACACCCTCAGCTGCTGCCGTTAACCTGTGCCTATTCAATATGTTCCCCTTTAAAAAGGGCCCTGCCGCCTCCCTCCCTCCCTCCCTCCCTCTGTGTCCTCTCTCTCCCTCCCCCCTCTCTCTCCCTCCCTCTCTCCCTCCCTCCCTCTCTCTGTGTCCTCTCTCTCTCTTTCCTATCTCCTGCTGCACCTGTCCCCAGAGGCCAGAGGCCAGTCCCCCCCCCCGCCCCTTTTCCCCGTTTTACAATCCTTTTCCCTTAATAAAAAACCATCTTTCTCTCTCAAGCTGATTTTTTTCAAATTACACCAGCCACCACCCCTGGTTTCGTGCTGTGCTCCGGACTAGCCCAGGGTCCTGTGCAAGCTCTCTCCCAACCGAGCCGCGCCCCAGCCCCCTCTTCCTCTTATTCTACAGTCACAACATTCTGGTCTTGAATTGAGCTCCAAGCTGACTTTTCTACTCGCTGGTATTGGTTTCCCCCCTTGCTGAGAACTGAACCTAGGGCCATAGGCTTGCCAGGCGCATGCTCTACCACTGAGCCAAATTCCCAGCCCCAAGGCCTTTCCACAGGCTCTATAACACACGTGGTAATTCTTCGGTCTTCGTGTAAGACTGCTTTGGTTGCCCACCCCCTCCCCCTACCTCCCCACCTCCCTCCCCCACAGAGGAGTGGGCGTTGGACCTCGTGATTTAATTTACAGAAAGGAAAGGAGGGAACAGCCTTTACAGATCCTGGAAAGAGCACTATCCAACAGCATGAGACAGAAGCCTATAGTAGGCTTCCAGTCTTTCCTTTGAGTAGGTTCACAGCACTGATCTGAGCTCCAGGGATCTCCCAGAGCCTGAAGGTGACTCCTCCCAGAGCTAGCTGGTGACTTCCCTGCCACTTTGTGTGTGTGTGTGGGGGTGTGTGTGTGAGTGTGTGTGTGTGTGAGTGTGTGTGTGTGTGTGTGTGTGGTGTATGTGTGTGTGGTGTGTGTGTGTGTGTGTGTGAGTGTGTGTGTGTGTGTGTGTGAGTGTGTGTGTGTGTGTGGCTGGGGGGGGACACAGAGCTGGTGATTTTTCTCAAGCCTGCTGGTTCTTGTCTGATACAAACTCTGCTCATTAATAAACTCAGCCTGCACTATTCCCGCACTTGCTTATTCGTGAAACCCGTGTGTTCCCAGGAGAACGCTAGACTCTGAAAACCCAGTGTGGAGCTCGGAGCTGGAGTAGAGGTGGCTGGGCGCAATAATGAGGACAAACTTGTATATAGGATGTCTAGGAGAGAGGAGCCAGCTAGATGGGTATTCAGAGGGCTTCGCTGAAGCAAGGCATGAATTCATCAGAACAGAAAAAGCATGTTCTCAGAGCTCCCTGATGCTCCAAGGAGCAGAGCTGCCACCGACTTATAAATTAATAAGTTCATATACCTCAAGCCTACATACAGGGAGCCAGGCATGGTAGCATGCCCTGTGGAGTCTGAGGCAGAAGGGTTGCTGCAAGTTTGAAGCTAGGAACACCTGAACCCCATCTTTCCCTTCAGAATGGAGGGCTCATACAGTCAAGAGCTTAATGATTTTTTAAAGCAGTTTTAGTTATATAAGTTAAAACTCACCGAAGTAGGGTTAAAACTGAGCTGAACAAAACAGGACTAGCTCTGTTAAATAGTCAGAATCCATCAGCCGCTTGCTACACAGGAAGGGCTCTAAGTATGCAACGCAGGGCCTTTCGTTTGAGTCTAATACGCGCCGCGATGCGAGGCCCTATCTCTGCTCTTCACGTTAGAGCATGTGAAACCAGCCAGGTCTAACTCCCAGCTCCTGCAGACCCGAGACTCCGCTTTCCCCTACACTCTCAATCTAGCCAACCCCCATTCCCAGCTGCCCCCTCCTCCCCCGATCCCCAGCTCCAAAGTTTGCACACAGCCTGGCCCACAGACACATGAAGTGGGACCGAAGTCAGGAAGGGAGCAAGGGTAGGGGTGAGGCTGGTAAACCTGAGAGCTCAGGAAGGGAACAGGGAAGGGGTGAGGCTGGTAAACCTGAGAGCTCAGGAAGGGAACAGGGAAGGGGTGAGGCTGGTAAACCTGAGAGCTCAGGAAGGGAACAGGGAAGGGGTGAGGCTGGTAAACCTGAGAGCTCAGTAAGGGAACAGGGAAGGGGTGAGGCTGGTAAACCTGGGAGAGCTCATGGTGGCTAGTGGGACAGATTCCTGCTCCATTTGCTTTCATGAAAAGAGAAGAGATCTGTTGAGTTTCTAATAGTTTTGACCAGAGCCAACACATATGAACCCAAAACTTCTGACACGGTTGAGAGCCCACCCCACCCCACCCCTCCTTCTCCTCCGTGACTGTGGCTGAGAATACCCACTCACAACATTTAGCTACACAAACTTAATCTGTAAACTGCGCTTTCTCCTCTATACATTCAGACTACCTTTTACACGCTGTTCTGATAGTTTCTTGAATTTGTCTCCTTAATTTCAGCAATCCATTTTAAATTATTTCCATTCCCTTGTTTCTCACAGCCCAATGCTTTGGGCTCTGTGGCTGTAATATCTCACGTCTCACTGAAGACCTAATTAAAATTCTTTTCAAAGCTTGTCTCTGGTCTCTAAGAGATGCACGTCCCCCAAGGTCGCTCTGTTCTGTTCTCTGTTTTTTTGCGTGCACACCTGGTGACGCTGGCTGTCTGTCTGCACGTAAGAATGAGGGTTGGGTTCGTTTTGTAGCTTGGTTTCCTGCATGGTTGTCAATATGCTTCCGGGAAATTCTGGATGTGGAAGGGTGGGGCTGTCCAGTGGAAGGCTCTGCTTCGGGGCACAGAGTGGACGAGTCCCGCAAAGGTTGTTTGTTTGGGGCACGCTATGAAGAAAGCTGCAGCCAATAATAGCTAATGATTGCATTTTGGCCAAGAATTTGGGCAGGTAGGGAGGTCTTGGGTCTGCACTGAAATGTGTGGCATTGGCAGCGATTGCTGGACATGAGGTGGTTTGAGTCCCATATGACCGGGTAAAATAATATTTGGTTTTTAACCACTTGGTTCAAATTGGACTCGTGGCTTTAAAAACTAGGGTAGGGGCTAAGAGATGACCCCATGGTCAAAAGCACTCGCTTCACAGGCATGGGGACCAGAATGCATACCCTCTCACCCACATGACAAGCCAGGCACCCTACAAGCACCTTTAATCCTAGCTCAGAGGGATCCTTATATTCTCACATGTATACATGCCCACATACATGTGCTCGTATGCCCATCCCCGCTCACACCAATAACTAAAAACGAGGCAAGTTTACAGTTACTCATCCAGCCCTGTGCTTGTGTGACAGACTGCAGATATTCTGAAGGAACACTGGTATCCATCCCTTTCTCTATCACGCTACTGCATCTGCGCGCTGGGAGCCTGGAGCCAGCCACAGGAACTTGTCTCCTGAAAAGAGATGACACACCGTTCTGTTCTGACAACTTAGCCGGCCACCTTGCAGGGAGGACTGGAGCGGAGACAAATCTGGAGCGGAGACAAATGTGTGGGGCCTGCTCCTTGACCATGGCTTCATGGCCATGCATACTCTAAACCTAACCCTCACGGCAGGCCTCACAAGGTGGGCGTGGCCGAGAGGCGTTACTGGACCCCTCTGCCCGTCTCCCAATCTGGGCACACTGAGTACATCTCCTCCCAGTGGTTTTCACTCTAGCTTGTCTCCTTACGTGGTGGGAGAGGACGCAGACAGGATTCCTGTCCCTGGAAATGGATATTTTAATGAAAGGTAGTGTAAAAAAAACGTAAAGGAACAATTTTAAAAATCGGGAACTATAGACAAAGCATGTGTTAGAAAAAGGAGCACAGGGGGCCCTCGGAGGTTGAAGAAGAGCCAATTCTTGGGTATGTTCTTGAGGCAAACGAGGGGTTCAGATGAACAAGGGAACAGAAGACAGGGAGAGAATGAGTCCGGGGCTGGGCACAGGTGCGTGGGGGCATTGTGCTTTTCCTATAAGGACAGACAAAGACAGAAAAGAGCCTCAGAATGAAATGCTTTAGAAATAAACCTCTGACTCAATTAGCACCAGGCTTTGGCCATCTGCTGAGTTTGGACACGCAAAACTCTGGGCCTTTGGGAGCTTTCTGGCCACAGTGTAGGGTCTGGGCAGCTGGTCCTCATGGCCAGACAGCTTATCTTTCCTCCGCCATATGGTGAGGATAAACTTTCCAGAGAACCAAACTGCATCCAAGGGTGAGATTCAGACCCCTGAGAGGATTGTTTTCAGGGTGAGGATACTTTGCACGGAACCTAAAAGTTGGCACTAGCCACAGAGAAAGCAAAGAAGCT